TTAGTTGGCATTTTCATCACGGTTTACCGGGATTTTCCTTTTTTTTCTATTTGTATGGCGACTCAAGTTTATCTTTGAGGCAGTCCTGCAAATTTTATTGTAAGCATAACTCTTTTTGTGGAATCTTGATTTTTCCTATAAAATTTGGTTCGCTCTTTCTAGGTAGCTGCTTGGAAAGATAACGATGGAGACTGGTACGAGACTGGCCTGCACATATTTTGTAAGTATTATCCCGATAATTTATGTTCCTCATGCTTATACGACCAGTTGACGTTAGAAAGTTGGGATGCTAATTTCAGATCCTTTCTTTTTTCTTGCTGGAAAGTTGGGGCTTATCCCAATGTGCAGAACTTGTTCGGGGAACTTGGAATCAACGACCGGTTGCAGTGGAAGGAACATTCAATGATATTTGCTATGCCAAACAAGCCGGGGGAGTTCAGTCGATTCGATTTCCCTGAAGTACTTCCTGCACCCATAAATGGTAGGCATGTGCGAATGGTGCTGGTTGTATGCATTACTTCATGTGCTTGTTTCCTGTGTCTGGTCTCTTGAAATATTTTGTGATACAACCAATCCATGTTTCCTAAAATGTGAGAATTACTGGCAGGGATATGGGCCATTTTAAGGAACAATGAGATGCTTACGTGGCCGGAGAAAATTAAATTTGCGATCGGGCTCTTGCCAGCAATGCTTGGTGGTCAATCTTATGTCGAGGCTCAAGATAATTTAACTGTGCAAGAGTGGATGAGAAGTCGGGTATGATTGGAATGCCATAATCTTGTATGGAATCTCTGAGCAACATAGATTTTAAGACGAAGATCTCAGATTCTAGGTGTTACCATTGCCAATGGAAATGTAACGGCCCAAGCCTACCGCTAGCTGATATTGTCCTCTTTGGGCTTTCCCTTTCAGGCTTCCCCCCTCAAGGTTTTTAAAACGCGTCTGCTAGGAAGAGGTTTCCACACTCTTATAAGAATGCTTTGTTCTCATCCCCAACTGATGTGGGATCTCAAAATCCACCTCCTATCCACCTCCTTTCGAGACCCAGCGTCCTCGTTGGCACTCGTTCCCTTTTCCAATTGATGTGGGACCCCCCAATCCACCCCTCTTTGGGGTCCAGCGTCCTTGCTAGCACACCGCCTCGTGTCCACCCTCTTCGGGGCTCAACATCCTCGCTGGCACATCGCTTGGTGTCTGGCTCTAATACCATTTTTAAAACGCGTCTACTAGGGAGAGGTTTCCACTCCCCTATAAAGAATGCTTCATTCTCCTCTCCAACCAACGTGGGATCTCACAATATGTTTCCATGGCTTGATTGCACATGATAGATTACGAGGAGGAGATCGTAAACCAGAATTCTTTCTCTGGATTCTATCCATAACGTTGATTTTACAGTGTGATAAATCACTAGTTTTGCTAAAACAATGCCTTCTTTGGCACTTACTTTTGCTGTTTTCTAGGGAGTACCTGATCGTGTAACAACTGAGGTGTTTATTGCTATGTCAAAGGCTCTAAATTTCATTAACCCCGATGAACTTTCTATGCAATGCATTTTGATTGCTCTGAATCGATTTCTTCAGGTATGATTATTTCTTTGCACAATAAGATTATTGAATCTATTTCATTGGTGTAAATGTTCACACCATTACAAAGTTCATAGCATTCCTTTCTGCTACTGACCCTCTCTAATTCTCATACATGTAATTCCTTTAGGAAAAGCATGGCTCTAAGATGGCTTTCTTGGATGGAAATCCACCCGAGAGACTTTGCGAGCCAATTGTCGAGCATATTCGATCATTGGGTGGCGAAGTGCGACTTAATTCAAGGATACAAAAAATCGAGTTAAACAACGATGGAACAGTGAAAAAGTTCTTGTTAAGCGATGGGAATGTAATTGAAGGAGATGCATATGTCTTTGCCACTCCTGGTGAGTAGCATACTTATTGGTAATGTCTTATAATTCTTGAACTTCACTTAAATTGATATCCATCTGTTCAATCAGTTGATATCTTCAAGCTTCTTTTGCCTAATGACTGGAAAAAGATTACATACTTCAAAAAGCTGGAAAAATTGGTTGGAGTTCCAGTTATCAATGTCCATATATGGTAATAGTACCCTCTACCTCTCTGAGATTCATTCATATCTCAGTAACTATGTAATAAAATGTGTGTGGTTTTCTATTATCAGTAATACGGTGATGTTATTTTTGTTTGCAGGTTTGATAGGAAACTGAAGAACACATATGATCACTTACTTTTTAGCAGGTGCTTTCTTTATTCGTGTTAGCTTGTTCTGTTTTAGAGGATAGCACTGTTTTTGTATTGCATAATGTACTGTTCTTGGGCAAACTATAACCCCGGAAAGCGAAAGAAAGATCGATTAAACCAATAAGCTAGTCCACAAGCATGTTAAATTTAATATCTTAGGTGGTAAGTTTACGTGAAAACATGAGATCCCACGTCGGTTGGAGAGAGGAACGAAGCATTTTTTATAAGGATGTGGAAATCTTTCCTTGATAGACGCGTTTTAAAACTATGAGGCTGACGGCGATAAGTAACAAGCCGAAGTGGACAATATATGCTAGCGATGGGCTTGGGCTTGAGGTGTTACAAATGGTATTAGAGGCAGACACTGAGGGGTGTGCCAGCGAGGACGCTGGCCCCCCAAGAGGAGGTGGATTGTGAGATCCTACATCGGTTGGAGAGGGTAACAAAGCATTCCTTATAAGAATGTGGCAACTTCTCCCTAACAGACGTGTTTTAAAACTGTGAGGCTGACGACGATACGTAACGAGGCAAAACGGACAATATCTGCTAGCGGTGGGCTTGGGTTGTTGCAAATGGTAACAGAGCTAGACACTGAGCGGTGTGGCAGCAAGGACGTTGGGCCCCTAAGAGGAGGTGGATTGTGAGATTCCGTCTCGGTTGGAGAGGGGAACGAAGAATTTCTTATAAGGATGTGGAAATCTCTCCCTGATAGCGTTTTAAAACTGTGAGGCTGACGGCGATACGTGACGAGCCAAAACGGACAATATCTGCTAGCGGTGGTCTTGGGCTATTACAAATGGTATCAGAGCCAGACATTGAGCAGTGTGCCAGCAAGGACGCTGGCCCCTCAAGAGGAGGTGGATTATGAGATCCTACATCGGTTGGAGAGGGTAACAAAGCATTCCTTATAAGAATGTGGAAACTTCTCCCTAATAGACGCGTTTTAAAACCATAAGGCTGACGGTTATATGTAACGAGCCAAAGCGGACAATATTTGCTAGCGGTGAGTTTGGGCTGTTACAAATGGTATCAAAGCCAGACACTAAGCGGTGTGCTAGCAAGGACGCTAGGCCCCCAAGATGAGGTGGATTGTGAGATCCCACATCAGTTGGAGAGGGGAACAAAACATTTCTTATAAGGATGTGGAAGCCTCTCCCTAACAGACGTGATACATAACGAGCTAAAGCGGACAATATCCACTAGCAGTGGGCTTGGGCCGTTACATTTACCCTAGACACTAAGTATTTTGTATTTCTTTACCTGAATGCAGGAGTCCGCTTCTTAGTGTTTATGCTGACATGTCAGTCACATGCAAGGTATATTTTAGAGCTTTCGATATCCTCGTCACTGGTCGTTTAGTATCCCGACCAGCTGTGATATTGTCAAATGTTTTGTTGACACAGGAATATTACAATCCGAACCAGTCCATGTTGGAACTAGTCTTCGCACCTGCAGAAGAGTGGATTTCCCGGAGTGACCCCGAAATTATTGATGCCACAATGGTGGAGCTAGCTAAACTATTTCCTGATGAAATTTCAGCTGATCAGAGCAGAGCGAAGATAGTAAAGTACCACGTCGTTAAAACGCCAAGGTAAACGTAGAATCGTTAACCGAGAGTCTGCTCGCTCGTTTCTAGAATAATTGGCATACATATATATTGTTCTACTGTTTGTACTGTACAGTTTTTGATTGACAGCCTAATTGGATATTGGTTATAGGTCCGTTTATAAGACGGTGCCCGACTGTGAACCGTGTCGCCCCTTACAGCGATCTCCTATTGAGGGATTTTATTTAGCTGGCGACTACACGAAACAGAAGTATTTAGCTTCTATGGAAGGTGCTGTTCTTTCAGGAAAGCTTTGTGCACAGGCTATTGTGAAGGTAATTTCCCTGCCTCTTGTTGTATCCTTTCCCTAGATAGTATTTTTCCAGCAATGGTGGAGATACATCTACAGGTGTAAATATCGATGATATGCGTTCATATCGATGTCGTGTATTCCATATTGCAGGATTATGAAATGCTAGTTGCTCGAGAGGAACGACGAGTCGCCGAGGCTGCTGGTGTTCGTTGACTAGAACATAACAAGATCAAAAGTACCTTCACATGATATTTCAACCATGAAGACAGGATTCTCCAATGCTACAAAATTGTTACGTCAAATGTTGGATATAAAAGAAAATGTAAATACGACCATATTATATACTCTATCGATCTAGTCGTTATAAGCCTCCATAGAGATTGACCTTAGCTCTCTAGAAAGGGCCTTAGCGGGTCAACCTTGGCCCTTAGGGGGTCAACCTTAGACATGTTAGGCTGATCCCAATATCAGTAAGCAACCTCACTCGTCCTCGTTGATCCCCTAGGGGGCAATCTTGGCCATAAAACATCCGGTTACTTATTTTAGCGTTCTAAGCTCCTTACAAACTCGATTAATTATTTCAGCGTGATCAGAGTGTAAGTGATTTAGCCAACATCAGTGCAAGACACCCATTTGATTCCTCGTTCATACAAATTAAAAATATTTTAAAAAGACAATAATTTAATTAACTTAATCTTACTTAAATCCATTAATTTAATAAAATTAAATCAAGAGGGTATAAAATATAATGTAATGGAGTAATTGATGAACAGATTTAGCACGTGCGAAGTATAAGCGGGAAATGTTTTATTCCCTCCGTTAATGCAAAGCTAAACGCTTATGGGGTTTAGGTTTATAACGTTAACTTCTCTGCTACCTCTCTCTTCTTCTAGCCGCGCCGAAATTTCTCTCTCTGATCACTCTCTCCCGCGCTCCCGCCTTTCTCGTCTCTCCTTGTCTCTCTTCTTCTCTTTCGTTTCATTGCTCCCCCATAGTTTTCTTTCCTTCACTCCCTCGCCTTTCTACATTACTCTCTCTGCCCTCCTCTGCTTCTTTCCCTTCTTGGGCCTGCTGCATTTTCTGTCTCTGTTCCTGTCCTCTGACCCGTGTTCTGTAATCATTTTGTTTCCTTGTTCTTATGGGATCTTTGAGGTGATGCTGTTTCTGGGTTTGGAAATTCAAGTTCATTTGCGCATTTTCTTGGTGTTCTTGGGTAAAGTTCTTTTGTACTGAATGTGTGAGGTGCTATGATTTTGGTTTTTTTTTTTGTCTGGTTTTGTTTTTTTTTCTTCTTCTCTTTATTGTGTGAACTTCTACGTGGATTGTTTTTGCATGTTTTGGTCTGAATTTACTGAAGTGAACTGTCTGATGTTTGAATTTTAAATTGGGATGGAATTAAGATGAAAGAACAGTGCAGCTTTTGGTGTTCGATTTGTTAGTGAAATAATGGATGTTCAGCGTAATTAGTCTGCTAGAAGTTCTAATTTAGGCTCTATTGTTGCGCAAATTTGATTTACAAGATGCGGGAAGTTTTGAGTGTTTTCTAGGCTGCTTATTTTTGTGAAGCTAGACGAGAATCATTCGAACTTGACTTATGAAGAACTTGAAACAATTGTCACTGTAAAGGATTTGTGGGTCTGTTGTTCCGTTACATAAGAAAGAATTAGCACCCCTAACTTCTCGTTTTTAAGGATTGGTAGCGCGTTGTTTAAGTGACTAGTATGGGATGACTTAGGAACCATTGAATTATTGGGGATAAGGTATCATGAGGTTGTGGGATTTATTTGTCATGTAAATGTTTGCATAGTTGATGTGAAATGGAGTGCCAGTTTAAATCTTGCACATTGAATTCAGTGTCCACTATGACCTAATTAAATTTGATTTCATGGTGTATAAATACGTTTTATTTTGGACTTTTTTTTGACAGAACCTAGTGTCATTTCTTAGCCATTGGTGGACCTATATCTGCACTAGACAATGGATTAAAGAAAATGCTGCACGTATTAAGTAGGAGATTTTCATGGTAAATTCATGTGGGAAGGGCAGGGGGAGGAGCTAGTCTGGTGAACCGTTTCTGGGAATGGAAACTCATAGCAAAGCGAAGTGCCGGGAGGATTTAGAGGTTGATATAATTGAATGTTCAAATAAAACTGATCCCAAATTTTGTGGGAAAGAAGACCCTGATGCAACTGAATATTCAAGCTCATTTGCTGAGACATCTGATACAGACAATTGTGCAGAATTCAACGAAGGAGAAGTAGAAACTCAATTTTTTGGAGACATTGGCTTGCCACCCGCATTTGGTTCATTTAGCAGTGCACTTCCAATAAGGTCCCTTTTTCTTTTGGCTGCAATTATAATCTATGTTTTAGAGTTATCGTATATATTTTGTTATAAGAAAAACTAAATGAAAGTTGCATGATTCTGAGTTAACATGATACCCTTGCTTTTCACTTTTCTGGAACGCTTCAGTTGGTCTTGGTTGCACTACTTAATGACATCTATAAATTATAAACACCTGATCTTTGAAAATTGGAATATGCATTTTTTTTTTTTTTTTGTATAGGCCATTTTCTGATTGCATTCATGAAATTTAGCACCACCTCCTCCCTTTTGAGTGTCTCAAACCGTAAGCCCCAATAGAAGGAATGGGATGGCTGCAATGCTTAATTTAGCAACCTTTCCCTTAGGAACTGTCAAGAATATCAATTGGGGGTAAGAAAACAACTACGGAAGAGGAAAAACAAAGCAAAATTTTAAAATGGGCAAAAGAACATGTCCTGCATACATCATAGGTGGATAGCATTTATTCGAAGATTTGATATTTCCATCAAGGATGCGTTCAGTGAACCTATTTAGGTAGTTGATGGTTTCTGTTGGAGATATCACTTTCCATTCTTAAATGGAGAAACTGTATCATTTGACAGGTTAACTAATGGGCGGTTGAAGACTTAAATAATATTTGAGATAAATGTAAGTAATGATAGATGGGCTTTTATGTAAAAGCAATGACTTACATACCTTCAATAGAAAGTTTTAAATACATGTATGTGGGCTTAGAAGATATTTTGGTTGTGATAAAATTCATTCTCAATTTTATTGGCCTTGATAGAATTTCATTCCCTATGCAAAGATATCTTAAGTGCTTAGTGTCCAAGGTACAAGTTCAAAATATTGGACTTTTAGCCTGTGTTGCCGATCTCTTTGTGGTCTTATGTACTCTTTCATATATATATATATATATTTTGTCTTGATTAAAGCTTGTTCAACTGGCTCTGCTCGTTTGTAGGAAGAGGAAGTTAACAAATCACTGGCAAAATTTCATCCGCCCTCTAATGTGGCGCTGCAAGTGGACAGAATTGAGAATTAAAGAAATTGAGTCACAGGCATTGAAATATTCCAGAGCACTTGCAGTATATGAACAAGGAAAGAATTTAGGCCTTGATCCAACAATGGAGGATTTTTCTTCAAAAGCATTTCCATTTTCTAGCCCATATTATAGAAGAAAGGCAATGAAGAGAAGAAAACGAAAGAGAGCTGAAGATACAAATGATATATCATCCTATATGTCACAGCATAACCTTTTTTCCTACTATGGTATCAGCTTTATCCCTCTAGTTATAACTTGTTTTTTCACCTTCCTTCTCTCTCTAACTGCAATTGTATCGTTTGGTAACTTTTGTTTTTTAATACAGAAAATAAGAAAGCTGAACTAGATGGTACTTCTGTAGCCGATGAATTTGCTAATCCAGGTAAAGTATTTCTGCTGTTACCTGTATTATTTATATGGTATGCAATATTTATTGGTGACGATAGCCAATGGGAAGGTCAAGCAAGACACTTGCACCGAATATTTGAGCTTGGCGAGTAGTATATTGAATAAAGGCAATATTCAATTGTTTTATACATTGGACCAAAAAACTCTATTTCATTCTCTCTCTAAAAGCTTAAAGAGAATGTTCGTTCAAACAATAATATACTTTTTCCTACTCGTGTAGTTTTAAATGCATTTAACTTAAGTATCCTCTTCTCTATCATATCGTGACTAATATGCCCAATTGAACAATTGAATATTTATCTTATTTTAATCTCTGATTAATAAACAGACCGGCTGTTTGCATTTCATTCTTTTGCTTCTTTCTTGGTTTAGTTACCATCCTTAAATTCTTCATACTTAAATATTCTGAAACTGAAAGTTGGCTTTCTGTTATTATTGGATCAGTGAAAATGGAGAAAAATGCTGATTCTGATGACAAATTTGGGATTAATAATGACTCTGTTCTCGAGTTCAGAGACACTAATAGTTCTTTGGAGCAAGTTCTCTGGAAAATTGAGGTGGTGCACTCTCGACTTCACAAGCTAAAGGGTCAAATGGATAAGGTGATGTCCAAAAATGCTTCAAAATTTTCTTCCTCAGAGAATCTGAGCCTTCTTGCACCTTGTGAGGCACAGACCAGCTCTGCCCCTACTCCTACGTTCTCAGCTGGTAATGGAGAATTATCAGTTGGAGTTATGGGCGCCTCAACTCAACATATATCAGAGTGTGATATTGGTGAGCTGATGAAGCCTGAAAGTGCTATTTCAAGCTATGGGGAGGCAATACTAGTCCCTGATATTATTGAAAGTACAGTAGGTCTCTTGACTGCTACAGAGCTTTCAATTCCGCTACCACAAATTGGGGATTCAACTGAGGATGTAAGAATTCTTGATGTCGAGCTAATTAATTTTCTCTTACACCATTTTCTGATGATGTGATGCTAGAGACAATTTTTAGTGTGAAATCTGCCAAATATGTTTGCCTTTTTCTTTTTGAAGTACGTTTATATTAAAAATGGTCATTTCTTCCCTCAGTTACAAAGAAGTCATCTGGTTGTTTTACTTTTTCTGTACTTTCTTTTACCTTTCTCCACATTAGGGGATGTAGCTCAAATGTTAGAACCAGCTCTGCATGCAGAGGTACAGGGTTCCATCCCCTGTTCCTTCATCTTCTAACAAATTTCTGGAAAATTTTGGTCTCCTCTTCCTTTGATCTCTTTGATCTCTTTGATATACTGCATGTATATGGAATAGATCTCTTAATTACTTGCTTTCATGAGAATGATATTGCACGCTTGGACTTCTGTCTCATGGTCTTTCTTCATTTGACCTCATTAACGTATTGCATGTCTATGAAATGAAATTTACATCTTTTAACTACTCGTTTTCATGAGAATAGATTTTTTAGCTCTTAAGAAGCTATACTGTTCATGTGAATTTCTGTCACATGGACACTGCCTTTCTCTGAAGTAGTAAATCAATCGATTCCTGCTTTCAAACATCAAACTTAACCAACCTTTTGCAGATTGTTACTAATGTGCTGATACCCAATGAGTTGGCTGAGGCAGAGAGAAACACACATGACACGATTGCTGCACAGCCCGTGGAAAAACATGAAAAACCAGAAAAAGGCAAGCAAAGTGAAGGCACCAGTCTCAGCTCAGTTCCAACTACACAACCTGATCCTATGGGAAAAGCTTTGGTCTCTGACGAACAATCAGCTCTTAAAAAATGTTTAGCTTCAGATATCAACTTTCCTAGGAACAAGAGAAAGAGAGGGGAAAGAAAAGCAGGTCCAGGTAGTTGGAACAAGAAGCATTCGAGCGAACCCGATAGCCAGTAAGTGCTTTTAGAGTGATTTTAGCTGTCTCTTAGAGGATCTGTAGCTGGTCAGACGTAAAATTTCCACTTTGCCATTAACCACTGGCATAGGTACAGAATGACCACTTATCAGGTTAGTCTTACTAAGCAACTTCCAGTGTGAAGCAGCTCTTAGTTGTTGCTGCTGCCACAATGTGTTAGAGAGAGATTCTGAGTTTTACCCTTGTGCAAGTTGTCTGTATCATGTTTACTGGGAACTGATCCTGATCTCTCTCATACGTCGTATTAGATCTCAATAAGATAACTTTTACCAACTCTTTTTACCTTGAATTACTGTTTTACTTGAATAAATCATGCTCTTAAAGATTTGTCTGGAATTCATCTTTTAGTTAGAAGATAGTTCTGTTTATCTGCAGAAGGGACATCGGATTCAATTGAAATTGTATGTTCAAGACTTTCTAAGATCGTGTATTTGGGATATAAATTATCATACAAGCTATTATAATCATTGTCTTGCTCTTTTCAGCAACTTCATAGGCTGAATATGATAATGATTCTCGTCATAAACTGCATCATGATGCCACCATACTTTGCTGAGCAGGTCACAAACTGCATCATGAAATACCAGGTCATGAATCCACTCTATCATCTTGAGCAATTTTGATGAACATAATCAGGTTAGTATATGGTTAAGAATCATTTTCTGAGCTGAAAAGACATTGAGCTAGAGATATGATATAAAAGTATCTTGATATTTGGCTGGTGATTCACATCATTCTACTTTTTGACTGCTAAACTTAGATTATTATGTCTCTGTATAGAGTTGTTTTTGGACTGTTAACCAAAAGATTCGTTTCCATCTATTTTGTGTTGGTCATTCATTAATGTCTAGAAATCATGATCTAATTTGGGTCACTTTTTTTAAGGTGAAGTGTACGAAAAGATCTGAGCTTTTCATTCAGTAAAAGATAGGTTTGATGAGATTTTGATCGTCTCGTTTTCGTCCACACATTGATTCATTACAATTTATATGTTTTGTATTTGTGTTCATATTTTGGTTTTGAGCAATAAATTTGCTCTCATTCTAAATTTTTAATGCCAAAAGATTGAATCAGAGACTTTGGGATTTGGGGTTCTCTGCAAAACCTTGGAATTTGCAACAACAGCTTTATTAAATTCTCACCAGATGAAAGAGGCAGGGAGTTGGTAACGATGGAGTTTATCAAATAAGCCATGAAACCAATGAACCCTCGTACTTTTCTAGTTTCTAACCATTTTTTTTTCTGTAAACGTTTGAGTTCGAGATAGATTAACGACTAGTTGATGTGTTGTTTAGTAGATGAATGATTTGCTCGACTCAACCTTGAAAGTTTAGATACTTAAAAGACCTAGAGGCTGTTGGAGAATTCAACTCCTAACACAGCAAGCACTTGAGAAGGCAAGGCTCGATACCCAGAGGCTCATGGGGAATTCAACACCTAGCACAACAAGCACTCTAAAAGGCTCGGCTGAGAGAGGGCCTGAAAATGAGGAAAAATTGATTCAAGCTAAATAACTTCATCAAACAGGTATAGGAGCTTCATGTGTGTTGAAAGTCACCTTATGCATTGAGCGAAGATTTGAACCTTCGACCTTTTGACCAACACTATAATATCTTAATCATTTGAGTTGTATTGCGATTGACCGATAGAATTTGATCTTTTGCATCATATCTATAAAGTAAACCATCAAAACTCTGGTCGTTAAATCCTATAACTAGGGTTTGTCTTTGCATGCCAATCTCTTGTCGAGAAAAACTCGTTAACCGAGGTGAAAATTTGAGACAAGGAAGGAAAAAGAAAGCAAATGGAGGAGAGGAGAGGAAGAGGAGGAGGGTAATAAAAACACCAAGGATAAAAGTAAAAAGTAAAAATTGAAAAAAGTTGGTTGTTGTTATGTACCAAACATATAAGTTATGGGGTGACAGGCTTTGCTATTATTTTGTGTTGACAAAAGGGACATTTTTCTTTTTCTTGGATCCCTTCTATCTTCACTTTTGCAGTCATTACAGAAAAGTAAAAGTCAATAAAGAACCCTCCATGCATGCCCCCTTTTTTTTTCATTTAAAGCGACTCGTATTAATCGGGACTTTGTATTTACTAAATATATGATTGATCGTGTTACATCTTTTACGAGGGACGTTGCTCGAAAGAAAAAATAATTAAAATTTAATTTTGTTGATATGAATTGGTGACCTAACTTACATAGAGATTTTAACAACCATAAGTCTCGAAATGTCAATTTTAGTTGCTCTTCATCATTTATTTAATTTAGGATTAAGAACTTTAATCCAACTACTTCTTCCCTAATCATATTTTACCTTTTCTTTTCGGTTGATGAACCTAATCGTAGGTGTCGATCGTAAGCATCATGTTTAATGTAAGACGCTCGAGTAAAGAAAGAATACATGAATTAACTGTGATCACATTTTAATGAGAGTGATCTTGAAAATATGAAATTATATGGTCGAGAAATGTTTTAAAAAATTGATAGTTATTACCTATACCAACAAGGTGCATATTTATTTTCAGAGATTGATCGTGGAGACTCCAAAGTTTGGCTTAAAAGAATCCAATGTAGGATGACCTCATTGTAAGTGAGAACAAATCATGCTAAAAGGACATGTTTTGGTTTGTCGAGATAGTTTCCACTCGTAGGAGTATTTAAGACAAGCAAATAACGTAGTCATGTTACGTGAAATACCACATCAGTTGGAGAGGAGAACGAAGCATTTCTTGTAAAAATGCGAAAGTCTCTCCTTAGCATACGCGTTTTAAGATAATGAGGCTGACAACAATACGTAAAAGGCAAAAGTGGACAATATCTGCTAGCGGTAGGCTTGTGCTATAACATGTAGTATCAGAGCTAGTCACCGATCAGTATGCCAGCGAGGACGTTGGGCCTCCAAAAAAGATGAATTGTGAGGCTGACGACAATACATAACGGATTAAAGTGGACAATATCTGCTATGTAATGCTTCACAGGTTACTCTATATGTCGAGCCCTTTCTCCTTGTTCCATACCGACGATATGAAGGATTGACGCTCGCCCAAGTTAACAAAAAAATCAACATATCATTAAATTATTGTCTTATGCATACATTTCAACATTTAACCACCGTTAGTTGACCTATTAGTGAAGGGTAAATGTGAAATTTCATATTCACAAGGGTAAAATTAATTTCTCTAACGTTGAGGGTCAATTGAAATAATATCATGGTCAAACAAAAATTTAAGACTGGGTCAAAGGAATATTTATTTTTATTGTCTTAATAATCTTGTTATTATTGCAAATTTAGATATAACTGAAAATAAATTTAAATCTTATTAATTTTTTTCCAATATTTAAAAGTCTGATGTGGATGAAAATATCGAAGTCTCAATTTAAAAAAAAAACGTCAATAAAAATATAAATAAAATATCGAAGTAATAGTTGTTCGGGTTTTCAAATTGAATGGTTTTTTACTAAATTACCCTCGTGATCCAATTATTTGTTTGCCTTTTGTATTAAGCTAAAACCTTGTGGGTCACAAAGAAAGGACAAACTTTTGGAGAAAAGGCAAATGCATGGCTAAGCTTTGATGTCTAATTTAAACTAACTTCCATTTGAATTCATATTATACTTAATGGAAGGAATCCCTCGATTCCTTTTCTCGAGTAATTATGACTTTGAATTTTCTTGAGTATTATGGTAACAGTTCAAGTCCGCTTTAACAAGTATCGTGATAAGTTTCACGCCCTTATAAATAATGTTTTGTTGATCTCTCCAATCAATTTTAGGATCGAATCGTTGAGCACACGGGAACATGTTTGTCTCTTCTCTCCCCCACACCCACTAGAAACGCCAAGTTGGTTCAACAATAAAGAAATAAAAGGCATGGCCTTTTGGCCCTTTTCATTTCCCCATTTCTCTCCCACATCACACTCTTCTTCTTCTTCTTCTTCTTCCAATCCAAAGAAAACATATAAATATTGCAAAAGTTGAAAGGTGGGCAGACACTAAAAGTAGCATTCCAACGAGCAAATACCCCATTTTCAGTCCTCTCCCCCAAAAAAAAGAGAGAGAAAAACAGAGCTTTAGAGAGAGAGAGAGAGAGAGAGTTTTCTTGGAAGAATTCAGCATGTAGCTGAGGAAGAAGCTGGGAACTAGCGGGGGAGAGAAGACCCATATCTCTGATTTTTCTTCTTCCTTTTCCTTTTGCTTGTTGTTTCAGCTTTCTGGAAGGGCGGCTTTTGAAGGTCTTTCACACGGCTGATTTTGGGTACTGTTTTGTTTTTTGGGTTTAACTTTTCTGGGTTTTTTGTGGGTTGTGTTCTTCTTCGATCAACTGTGGTGGGTTTTCTTCTTTTTGAGCACAAATTTGCAGAGGACTTTCGGCTACTGGGTCATTTCTGCTGCTAAACTTTCCCTTTTAGGTCTTTTACTTCCTTGCTTCTGTGTTCTTCTGCTGTTCATCCTTAAATTCTTCAGATTAATCCCTTTCTTCTCCTCTTTCTCTCTTGCAAATTGGGGTTTGGTTGAAATTGTCTTGTTTTATTTAGCTATGCCTTGAATCACTCTGAGATTTTAGCTGTTTTTGGTAGGAATTTTGGGTTCCTATGGCTTCCTGGCCTGGGAGGCTAGGGAATGGATTGAACCATTTTGAGGGTTGGTAGGAATTTGGTCTGTACTTTCTGGGTCGATTTTCAACTTGATACTCATAATTCTTATGAACTGGATTCTCTGGTACCAATTTTGGATCCTATTCTTGTACTTGTGTTCATTGTTCGATGATCGCGACGTCGATTACGTATAAGAAATTCGGTAAAAATGGCTGCAGTTAAGTGCTGAATCTTCCATTTTCATTGTCTTTCAGGGAAACTCTTGATGCAAGTTAGATGGGAAAGAAGGGCAGCTGGTTTTCTGTTCTAAAGAGGTTTTTCACTTGTCATTCAGGAGAGGCAAGTTGTTTCTGAACTTATTTTGACTATCGATGAAATGAACGATGTTATGTTTGTTTATGTAACTCGGTTTGTTTCGATCGTTTATGTCGATGTTGTTGTTTTTGATCTTGAATGTATGAGAATAGAAGGAGAATCTGACCTTTTTTTGTTGTGAACATTGTGGTTTCATGATATAGAAGGATGATAGGAGAAATGAAAGGAAGGGAAATGGGAAAGGAGAGTCTACTTCTTCCTTCATTCCGATCTTTAGAAAGCCGAGCAGTGTCGAGAAAATCTTTAGTGATTTCGAGAGGGAGCAACGAATAGTAGCTTTTCAGCCTCCCACTCCTGAACTACCATCCACACCACCTCATGTACCTCCTCGACCAGCTTCCCCACCGGCCCCTTCCCCTCCTAGAGCTCCTCCTCCTATTGAACCATCTCCCAAGATTTCTCCTCCTCGAGTTGCTTCTCCTCCCCGAGCTTGCTCATCAACAGTTGCCAATCATCACGAGGAAGTCTGCGACGTTCCAATAGTCATCAATGA